CCTCAGAGACCCCCCAGGGTCCCTGTCCAGGGCTCAGGACCCCCTGGGACCCCCCTGGGCTCAGGGACACCCCAGGACCACCCTGGGACCCCCAGGCCAGGGACCCCCTGACCCCTCCCAGGACCCCCCAGGACCCCCCAGGCTCAGGACACCCCCAGAGACCCCTCCAGGGCTCAGGGACCACTCCTGGGACCCCAGGGCTCAGGACCCCCCAGGGCTCAGGGACCCCAGGACCCCCTATGGATCAGGGACCTCCCAGGCTCAGGACCCCTCAGGGACCCCCCCAGGACCCTCTCTGGGACCCCCCAGGGCCTCAGGGACCCCAGGACCCCCCAGGGCTCAGGACCCCCAGGACCCCCCAGGACCCCTTAGGGCCTCAGGAACCACTCCTGGAACCTCCCGGGCTCAGGAACCTCCCAGGACCCCCCAGGACCCCCAGGCTCAGGCACCCCGGTCCCCCCGACCCTCCCAGGGCTCAGGACCCTTCGGGACCCCCAGGACCCTCTGCGGGTCCCCCCACCTTTGAGCAGCACGAACTCGTTCTCCTTCTCCGTGCGCTGGCTGATCTCCGTCCTCGCACCTGGGCACACCAGCACGGGGGCACTGGAGCACTGGGGACTGGGGACTGGGGACACTGGGGAGACACTCAGCACTGGGGACACTGGGGGACTGGGGACTGGGGGCACTGAGCACTGGGAGCACTAGGGGCACTGGGGACACTGGGGGACTGGGGACTGGGGGCACTGGGGCACTGGGGAGACTGGGGAGACTGGGGGACTGGGGACACTGGGGACACTGGGGGCACTGGGGACACTGGGGGACTGGGGGCACTGGGGGCACTGGGAGCACTGGGGGACTGGGAGCACTGGGGGACCGGGGACAGTGGGGACTGGGGGACTGAGGGGACTGGGGACACTGGGGACATTGGGGGCACTGGGGACACTGGGGGCACTGGGGACACTGGGGACACTGGGGGCAACTGGGGGACTGGGGGACTGGAGGAGACTGGGGGACTGGGGGGACTGGGGACTGGGGGCACTGGGGGACTGGGAGCACTGGGGGACTGGGGGAACTGGGGGGACTGGGGCATTGGGGACAGTGGGGACACTGGGGACACTGGGAGGGCACTGGGGACAGTGGGGACACTGGAGGACAGGGGACACTGGGGGACAGTGGGGACACTGGGGGACGCTGGGGGATGGAGGACAGGGAACAGGGGGACACTGGGGGGACTGGGGACATGGGGGACATGGGGGACCGTGGGGGACTGCAGGGTCATTGAGGACATTGGGGGACAGTGGGGACACTAGGGGTGACTGGGGGACTGGGGACACTGGGGGGACTTTGGGGGAGACACTGGGTGGACACTGGGGACAGTGGGGGACTGGGGGACTGGAGGGGACTGGGGACACTGGGGACACTGGGGACATTGGGGGACTGTGTGGGGACACTGGGAGGACACTGGGGGACACTGGGCGGGACTGGGAGGACACGGGGGACTGGGAGGGCACGGGTACACTGGGGGGACTGGGGACATTGGGGACATTGGGGGACACTGGGAGGGCACTGGGGACATTGGAGGGACACGGGGGACACGGGGGTTTCTGGTGACCCGGCGGACCGGGAGGGACACCGGGGGACACTCGGGGACACTGACTTGGCCTTGAACTCGTCGACCATGCCTCGGACGTGGCCGAGCTCCGCCCGCAGCCGCTGCCGCTCCTGGCCCAGCCCCTCGAGCTGGCGCCGCAGGGACCCCGCGTAGCCCTCCAGGAGCCCCCCCAGCCCGCTCTGGGGAGGGGGCTGAGCCCGCAGGAGCCCCCACTTGGTCTCCAGCAGCTTGTTCTGCTGCTCCAGGAACCGCACCTGGGGGGAAAGGGGGGGTCAGGAACGCGAAAACAACCTAAAATCACCCCAAAATCACCCCACACAAACACAAATCACACCTGGGGAGCAGGGGGGGGGGGTCAGGACCACAAAAACATCCTAAAACCACCCCAAAATCACCTCAAACGCACCCAAATCACACCTGGGGTGGACGGGGGGATCAGGAACACAAAAACACCCTAAAATCACCTCAAACGCACCCAAATCACACCTGGGGAGCAGAGGGTGGTCAGGACCCAAAAATCACCCCCTCCCCTCCCCAAAATCACACCTGGCAGGGAGGGGGGGGTCAGGAACACAAAAACATCCTAAAATCACCCCCAAAATCACCTCAAACTCACCCAAATCACACCTGGGGTGGACAGGGGGGTCAGGACCCCAAAATCACCCTAAAATCACCCCACACAAACCTAAATCACACCTGGGGGGATACGAGGTGGGTCAGGACCCCAAAACCACCCCAAAATCACCCCCACACACAGATCTGGGAAGTTCCAGGTGACCCAGGAGGTCCCAGGGGGGTCTCAATGTCCCCAGGGGGCTCAGGTGACCCAGGAGGTCCCCAGGGGAGTCTCAGTGTCCCCAAAGGTCCCAGGTGACCCAAGAGGTCCCCAAAGGGCTCAGGGTGATCCAGAAGGTCCCTGAAGGCTCTCATGAGGTCCCCAAGGGGGTCTTGACATCCCCAAAGGGCTCAGAAGGTCCCCAGGTGATCCAGGGGGTCCCTGAAGGGTCTCAGCATTCCCGAGGTGCTCAGAGGGTTCCCAGTGGGGTCTCAACATCCCCAAGGGGGTCAGGAGGTCCCAGGTGACCCAGGGGTCCCAGGGGGATCTCAGTGTCCCCAAAGGACTCAGGGTGACCCAGGAGGTCCCCAAAGGGTTCAGAAGGTCCCCAGGTGACCCAGGAGGTCCCCAGGGGGATCTCAGTGTCCCCAAAGGTCCCAGGTGACCCAGGAGGTCCCCAGTGAGCTCAGAAGGTCCCCAGGTCACCTGGGAGGTCCCTGAAGGGTCTCAGGAGGTCCCCAAGGGTGTCTCAACATCCCCAAAGGGCTCAGAAGGTCCCCAGGGGGGTCTCAATGTCCCCAAAGGGCTCAGGGTGACCCAGGAGGTCCCAGGGGATTCTCAGTGTCCCCAAAGGGCTCAGAATGACCCAGGTGACTCAGGAGGTCCCAGGGGGGTTTCAGTGTCCCCAGGGGGCTCAGGAGGTCCCTGAAGGGTCCCAACATCACCAAAGGGCTCAGAGGGTTCCCAGTGGGGTCTCAACATCCCCAAGGGGGTCACGAGGTCCCCAGGTGACCCAGGAGGTCCCCAGGGGGGGTCTCAGTGTCCCCAAGGGTCCCAGGTGACCCAGGAGGTCCCCAAAGGGTTCAGGGTGACCCAGGAGGTCCCAGGGAGATCTCAGTGTCCCCAAAGGGTTCAGAAGGTCCCTAGGTGACCCAGGAGGTCCCCAGGGGGGTCTCAGTGTCCCCAAAGGGCTCAGGGTGACCCAGGAGGTCTCAGGGGGGTCTCAGTGTCCCCAAAGGTCCCAGGTGACCCAGGAGGTCCCCAGTGAGCTCAGAAGGTCCCCAGGTGACCTGGGAGGTCCCTGAAGGGTCTCAGGGGGTCCCCAAGGGTGTCTCAACATCCCCAAAGGGCTCAGAAGGTCCCCAAGTGACCCAGGAGGTCCCAGGGGGTCTCAGTGTCCCCAAAGGGCTCAGAAGGTGCCCAGGGGACTCAGGAGGTCCCTGAAGGGTCTCAGGGGGTCCCCAGTGGGGTCTCAACGTCCCCAAGGGGGTCACAAGGTCCCCAAGTGACCCAGGAGGTCCCCAGGGGAGTCTCAGTGTCCCCAGGGGGCTCAGGAGGTCCCTGAAGGGTCCCAACATCACCAAAGGGCTCAGAGGGTCCCCAGTGGGGTCTCAACATCCCCAAGGGGGTCACGAGGTCCCCAAGGGACCCAGGAGGTCCCAGGGGGGTCTCAGTGTCCCCAAAGGGCTCAGAAGGTCCCCAAGGGGGTCTCAATGTTCCCAAAGGTCCCAGGTGACCCAGGAGGTCCCCAGGGGGGTCTCAGTGTCCCCAGGGGGCTCAGGAGGTCCCTGGAAGGGTCTCAGAAGGTCCCTGAAGGGTCTTGATGACCCCAAAGGTCCCAGGTGACCCAGGGGGTCCCCAGGGGGGGTCTCAGTGTCCCCAAAGGTCCCAGGTGACCCAGGAGGTCCCCAGGGGGGTCTCAGTGTCCCCAAGGGTCCCAGGTGACGCAGGGGGTCCCACCACCCCCAGAGCCTCCCCGGGCCCCACCTTGTCGATGAAGGCGGCGAATTTGTCGTTGAGGGTCTTGATCTGCTCCTTCTCCTCCCGCCGCAGCTCCTGCAGCTCGGGGTCCACCGACACGTCCAGGGGGTCAGGAGGCTCCTGCTGACGCTGACGGCGACGATCTCCGCCCCCCGCGACTCCCGAGACCCTCGGCACCCCCGGCAGGGGAGGGGTCCCCGCGCGCAGCCCCCGAAGGGGCCGAAGGGCGAGGACGCGCTCGGAGCAGCCGAGAGGGAGCGGGACGAGAAGGGACGGCCTGGGACGGAACCGCCCGCCCGCAGGGGAGGGACACGGACATGGCACGGACACGGGGGATACGAGGGAGAGAGGGGAAAAAGGGGGGAGAGGGGGGATACGGGGTGGGAGAGGGGAAAAGGTGGGAGAGGGGGAAAAGGGGTGAGAGGGGGGAAAAAGGGGAGAGGAAGGAGCGAGAGGGAGGTTGGGGGTCAGGCAGGGAGGGAGGAGGGAAGGTGGGGGAGGATGAGGAGGTTGGAGGAGGCTGAGGAGGACAAGGAGGTTGGAGGAAAGCTGGAGAAGGTTGGAGGAGGACGAGGAGGCTGGAGGAGGTCGGAGGAAGGCTGAGGAGGCTGAGGAGGACGAGGAGGATGAGGAGGAGGAGGAGGTCGGAGGAGATTGGAGGAAGGTTGAGGATGAGGAGGAGGTCAGAGGAGGACGAGAAGGACGAGGAGGATGAGGAGGACGAGGAGGATGAGGAGGATGAGGAGGGCTGGAGGAGGATGAGGAAGGCTGGAGGAGGTTGGGAGAGGCTGGAAGAGGCTGAGGAGGATGGAAACAGTTGGGAAAGGCTGAGGAGGTTGAGGATGAGGAAGGCTGGAGCAGGTCAGAGGAAGGCTGAGGAGGATGAGGAGGATGAGGAAGGCTGGAACAGGTCGGGAGAGACTGGAGGAGGCTCTCAGAGGCAGAGGAGGAGGAGGACGGCTGGGAGAGACTGGGAGAGACTGGGAGAGATTGGAGTAGGTGCTGGGAGAGGCTGGAGAGCCTGAGGAGGATGAGGAAGGTTGGAACAGATTGGGAGAGGCTGGAAGAAGCTGGAAGAGGCTTGAAGAGGCTGGAGGAAGATGAGGAGGATGAGGAGGGCTGGAGGAGGATGAGGAAGGTTGGAGGAGGATGAAGAAGGCTGGAACGGGTCCGGAGAGGCTGAGGATGATGAGGAAGGCTGGAGCGGGTCCGGAGAGGCTGAGGAGACTGGAAGAGACTGGAAGAGACTGGAGGAGGCTGGAGGAGGTTGGGAGAGGCAGCCGGAGCGGTCGGAGGCAGAGGAGGCCGAGGCCGAAGGCCGCGCTCGGGGCGGGAGGCGGCGGCGGCCCCGGCAGGACTGGCCGGACGGGTCGGGCCGGGCGGGTTTTCCCGGGCGGGTTTTCCCGGGTTGGTTCCCGAGTTTCTCCCGGAGCCGGGGGAGGAGACGCGGGGGGAGGGACCGGAGGGTTAACCCCTTCGGGCCGGGGGGGTGCGGGATCCTCGGGATCTGCGGGATCCTCCAAGATCGGGGGGTGTGGAAACCTCGGGATCCACCGGGATCCGGGGCCCGGGATCCTCGGGATCTGCAGGATCCACGGGGGAGGAGGGTGGAATCCCCGGGATCCGCCAGGATCGGAGGTGCAGGATCCTCAGGATCCACCGGGATCGGGAGGGGAGCTCACCCCACAGTGCGGGTCCCGGGTGGGGTCGGGACGGGGCGCAGGGTGGGACCCCTCCCCTTCCCCCCAAGGGTGGGACCCCAAGGGGTGACCCCCCCGACCCCGCCCTGCAGACGGGGGCTCCTCCTCCTGCCCCAAGGTGGGCACAGGTGTGTACAGGTGTGTACAGGTGTGTGCAGGTGTGTACAGGTGTGTTCAGGTGTGTTCAGGTGTGTGCAGATGGACACAGGTGTGTACAGGTGAGTTCAGGTGGGTTCAGGTGAGTTCAGGTGAGTTCAGGTGTGTACAAGTGGGTTCAGGTGTGTACAGGTGAGTTCAGGTGGGCACAGGTGAGTTCAGGTGTGTTCAGGTATGTACAGGTGTGTACAGGTGAGTTCAGGTGTGTACAGGTGTGTACAGGTGTGTTCAGGTGTGTACAGGTGTGTTCAGGCGTGTACAGGTGAGTTCAGGTGTGTACAGGTGAGTTCAGGTGTGTTCAGGTGTGCACAGGTGTGTACAGGTGAGTTCAGGTGTGTACAGGTGTGTACAGGTGTGTACAGGTGTGTTCAGGTGTGTACAGGTGTGTAAAGGTGAGTTCATGTGTGTACAGGTGTGTACAGGTGAGTTCAGGTGTGTACAGGTGAATACAGGTGTGTACAGGTGAGTTCAGGTGTGTACAGGTGGGCACAGGTGAGTGCAGATGAATTAAGGTGTGTACAGGTGAGTGCAGGTGTGTACAGGTGTGTACAGGTGAGTTCAAGTGTGCACAGGTGAGTTCAGATGGACACAGGTGTGTACAGGTG